CCATAGGTCAGTTTATTGTAGCTATTCAGACTTAATGGGTTAATGGGTCTATATTGAAAGAGAAGGAGTTGTGGTCTTTCATGTTGAACCTCTCGAGGATTTATGAATTTCCAGTCATTTAACACTTTTTTCTAAGTTGTCAGTTACTTGTTTAGTGTTATTGGTATACAGAGATGAAAAAAAACATGAAAGTTGGAAGGAATTTTCTGAACATCATCTTATATGATTTATCTAAGATCATCTTTTGAAGTGACAGGTTTGATAAACCTAATTTCTTTTCAAGTTAGCTGTAACATTGTTTCTTTTCAGGTATCCTTTGACAAATTACACATTTGGCACAAAGGACCCGTTATTCGAAAAGGACCCCAGCGTCCCTGCCCGTTTCCAGCGCATGCGAGAGGAGTTTGATAAGATTGGCATGAGGAGGAGCGTGGAAGCGGTACTTCTTGTCCACGAACATGGCCTCCCTCATGTGCTACTCTTGCAGCTGGGCACAACCTTCTTTAAATTGTAAGTCAGGATTTGCTATTCTTCCCTTTTTCTCTCTTTGTCTTTAATGTAATCGATACTTTATTACTTTTTCCATTGCAGGGAAGACTTAAGAAGGTTATCTTTGATCCTTTTTCTTTACTGAAATTAATTTGTAGGTACAGAACATGCTTACTTTAGGTCTAAACACCTGAGAGAGACCTATCCCCCCTGTCTCTCTCTTTTTTCCCAGTATACCTAAAACATTATGATTACTCTCAAAGCTTCTCTGCAGTGTTGCAACCAGGATAATGCAGGTCTTGGTCTTTAGATTTAGAACTAAATGGTAATACCTAATGGTACTAATGACATCATAAATACCTTACTACTTTTGGTTAATCTGGCTGCATATTCCACTAGGTCTCCTTACCATTTTTACTCAGCTCAAAAGTTTGTTTTCATCAAACTCTGGCTGGTAACTCATGTGCAGGGACAGGACTTAACTTTTATAAAGTTATTTTGTATCAATTTTGTTTTTTTGTCCCTTAACAATGTCCTTATTTGTCTATTAATTTGCTTTATCCAGATGGTAATAAGTTATTTTCCTTTCACAAACACCACATCATCTCTATATGCTGTAAATAACTCAGTGCAAGAAAAAAAATATGTAACATTTAGTTATTGTCATGTATCTTATTTTTTGGTAATTTTAAAAAATTTCCGTGACTTTCACTGCCAGTCACAGCAGCCAGCAATACTCTGCTGAGAATGGAAATGGTGTCCTCCTCCTTGGAACCGGGGCTCTTCCAGTCACAACTGACGCATATTACATTCCACATTCATTATCAATGGGAATAATGCAAAAGCCCCTTCTAAGCACCAAATGAGTTTAATTACATTCTAAGAGATTTCTGGCGAGTCTTTTCCATCCCCCAGGCCTTCGCTCATGATGGCACATTTGCATCAACTAGCCTATGTCCATTTTGTCCGATGACGGCATGTTCACATCACCTGGCCATCAACCCAGGTTTTTCCATGATGGGATGGTCATGTCACATGGATCATAGAAGTTGATTTAAATTGAGCAAGACCTTGTTGTTGTGATGCATCCTGTTGAAGGCATTGTTAGCTTCACCAGCTGTACCACCTGTGTTACTAGTATGTCTTAAAGCTTCAAGAGTGACTTTGGCTGCAAGAGGTCTCTATAAGAATGAGACTGCCAAGTAGGAATTGTGTGATAATGACAGACAGATCCTTAAACCCCCACCTCGGCATCATGGTGTGTGGTAGGTGGCAGTCTATCACTAAGGGTGTATGGCTGGATGAAGCAGAGGTTGAAGGGAAGAATGGAATTTTTCTGATGTTTCAAATGATTTTCATTTGTTAAAGTTCTAGTTTCCTTGCCTCTTTTGAAAGTGATGTGCAGAACAGTTTTCGTAATAGATTTAATTCTTCGACAAATTTTAGACTAGTCGGGTCACAAACAAAGCTCATGTTACCCCTTTGATTATGGGTATGTTTGATCAGAGTGAATACTACCATATGTTGAGAAATACCTCATTATCATGAGCTTGACAGATGTCCAGACATGGAGCAACGTGCACATGTACACCCATTCTTAACTTACTTTACAAAAAGATTCCCTTGTTGTTTTTGGGCGTATCCATTACATAAGGATTTCAGATACCCATATCATATTCCATGCTTTAGTTAACCCGCAGCACCTCATTTTACCCCATCACCAGACCGGGTGGAGAGCTGAACACTGAGGAAGACGAAGTGGAGGGACTCAAGCGCTTGCTGACAGAAACCCTGGGGCGGCAGGACGGGCTCAAGCAGGAATGGGTCATAGAGGACATCATTGGTAACTGGTGGCGGCCAAATTTTGAGCCTCCACAGTACCCCTACATCCCCTCACACATCACCAAGCCAAAGGAACATAAAAAGCTCTTCCTCGTACAGCTTGGAGAGAAGGGTAAGGACACAGTGTGTGATAATGAGCTGCTGCTGTTTATATACATATATATATTTTTTTTATTTATTTATACTTTTTAAATTTTATTTATTTATTCCAATGTAAAATTACTACACATATTTACAGGTTGATTAATTGGCTTTTCCAGATTCTCATACTAGTTTCCCTTTATTTTGTCCACAGCATTGTTTGCAGTACCAAAGAACTACAAGTTAGTGGCAGCACCTTTGTTTGAACTCTATGACAATTCTCAGGGATACGGACCGATTATTTCCTCTTTGCCACAGTCATTGTGCAGGTTTGTGTGATTTATTTATCTGTTTATTTTTTGATTTTGAGAGTTTAACAATGTATGAGCTGCACTCTGCTGGTTACAGTTATTACCTTCTTATTTCATACAAGTTTTCCCTTGTTAAAAACTGGGACTTATTCCTTTAATATGTTATTTGATATGACTTTTTTTTTTTATAGTAAGTAACCTCTCTCTCTCTCTTTTGTCTTTTCAGGTTCAACTTCACATATATGTAGATGTCAAGTATGAAAAGAGTGTGAATGACATTATGTATTTGTGGTTACAAGAAGAGGATATAGTGTGACTTTAGTTTCCTGTAAATGAAACAAGTGACGTGTTTTGAGGCATGTATAAAGAAAACAAGAAATGAAAACAATATCTCCTTCATGTTATTTTTGTATCATAACACAAATTGGATCAGCAATAAACTTGTCAAAAAACAAAAACAAAAAAAAAATGCTGTCCAGTTAGATACAGTTCTCAAATGCCACCATATTTAGTGCAGGTAAATCGAATAGCTTGCATCGAAGCTATCTACACACATGCAGCTTGTTTTACCGTTTCTTTGACACCTGTACCTATGAAATATTTTCAGGCTGTATCTTCAAAGGTAGAATATACTGCACTTCACTATGTTCTGTTGCCCTTAAAAAAAAAAGGAAGTTAAGAAAAGATGCTGACTTAATATAGATGCAATTGTCTTTCTGAACTTGTACAATTTCTTCTATCATTTAATCCCTTTGTTTAACTGTGTGGCATGGTACAAATACAGGATTTCAGAAGCAGCGTTTTGATGATAAGACCTTATGTCCAATGAGGAAATACATTGTGGTCTTTTGGCAAGTTTGTATGTGGAGAGATTTCTTGCTTTACTCCCTAAAACTTCTTTTTCTTTTTCTCTCATTCCCTCGAGGGAAATTCAGTATAGTTCAAACTGTGTTGTCCAATTCAAGGTTCAATTCCCAGCAGTTTAACATTTACGAAGATTTTTTATCTTAATCTTTGATTTTAATTTTATTTTATCATAATATTTATCATTTCATGTAGTAGAAGGACTTGCATGTGAGGGAAGAAATTGAAAGGAATTCAAATCGGATTCAAACAAGATTTGTTCACATTGAACAGCAGGTGCAAAGTTCAAATTTTTGGATAAAGTCTTCTCCTTCACATTACAATTTTTTCTTTTCTTTTTTCTTTTGCCTTTTAAAAAAAAACATACTTTATACATCTTGCTGAAAGATATCTTGTATAAAAATTGTAGCCGTATGTTGAAAAATAATGTTTAATATCATACAAGTTCATACACCCATTCCAGTCATACAAATCAGCTTTCAGAAAAATATGTATTTAAATGGAAATAAACCTTTTTCTTATGTGATACAAGTTTAATTTCAGATCCTAATTACACGTTTGTATTAATGGTAAAAATAAATAAAAAATATAGACAGAAACAGATGCTGACTCAAGACATTATGATATTAAGATGGTAAAAGCTAAAGCATTAAAACCAAAATTTTAAAGGGAACTTTTTCCTTTCAATTAAAATTTTTATCTATTATTTATTTATTGAAAATTTTCTACCATGTCAACATTTCAAGTCATTTGTGATGTATTCAAAATATAGTAGTAGGGTCGGGCTTGGGTAAGCAAGTTTTTTGCTTCATAAGGCAATAATGATCAAAACAAATGTTCCATACGTCAAAGGTCATACAGCACTATGACAAAGTATTATGGCAAAAAGGGTAAAAACTAGTTAACAATTAGAACAAAAACGTGTTTGATGCTAAAGGTTGTAGAGTGCTGTAGGATAGTATGGTAGTAAGAAGGGTAAAGAAGGAAAAGCAAAAGAGGACGAAGGCCGTTCGGGACTGATACAAAGCCAGCCTTTCATCCTCTCAGCACGGCTCTCACATCCTAGGAAGTGGACAGAAGAAGTGGATGAAGAAAAGAAGGAAAAGGAAAGGGGGAGAAGAAAAGACCATGCAACATCAGTTGAGGCGAGGGCTGATGTCCAAGGTAGAGGTAATCCCCTTCATTGGGCCTAAGACTCTGTCTCCTAAGTTTCCTCCCCCTACAACAACAATGAGCATGAGTTTTTTTTCTTATTTGTTTTGTAATGCCTTCTATTCTTTATCTTCTTATGCTCACCTATCAGGAAAGCCATAGGTCATTAAAAAATAATGGCAAAAGGAGGTGGGTGAAAATGTGGAAGACATGGTGGTGTTGATTGAAGCAGTACTGTGGAGAGATGGATAATAAGGCTGCAGGGTAGTAATAAGGGAGGAGTGGGTAGAAAATATTGGCAGAGGAGGAATGTTTCCTTGATTTGGTCTGGAATGAGGTGATAGGCACTGAGGAGGGACTACTCACATATCAACTTCAAAGGAAAGCCTGGGGTCAGGGGATTGGGGAAAAAAAGATGAGTGGAGCTAGTTGATAAAGGGCAAGCCTAATAAAGTTGAAAAAATCTTCATTACTGGCCATGGTAAACCCAGAGTATGCTGGGGAGAGAAATGGTTCACCCCTCAGGGACCCCTTGAGGTGTATGGGCCAGATAATTAAACGGGAATGCTGTGCCCATGGCTCCCCTAGGCCGATCATGACTGGTACAAAGTCAGCCTTTCATCCTTTCATTCCCCCTACTGCTACAACTTTTTCCTTTCCCCTGGCCTACAACTCGCAAGGATTGAGGGGTTGTGGGGCAATGGTCAAGGAACTAAACAGGGGAATACCATGCCCATGACCCCCTGGTCATTCATGACTGGTAGTCTGCCTTTCATCCTTTCAACACAGCTCTCACACCTTAAGAAGTGGATAGTTGAAGGGGACTGGAGAAGAGAGGGTAGAAGAAAAGACGGAGTAAAACTGAGTGTAGGGCTGAGGCCCAAGGTAGGACGATTCAGCCAAATCCGTCTCCTAAGCCAAGTATGGCATTGGGGGGTCAAAGTGGATAGCATATGAACTCACTGAAAACCCAGATTAACACCTCACACGGCCACTGTTCAGTCCTAGTTGCAGACATGCTTGCTTCAGACCATATATGCAAGGGCCAATAAAAGAAACAGGTAGCACAGGTGAAAAGAAGTGATTCTGCAAAATTTGTTTACCATGAAAAAGTATGGTCACACACTCATGTTAACTTAGTACCCTACCCCCCCCCTTGCAAAGCTCACCTGCAACACAACCACAATCATATTTTTTTCTCAAACACTGATCCACACAGCCACCCCTGTATTTCAAGTAGAGTTTCCATGAAAAGGATGGAGGGGCAAGGCAGACATTTTTTGCACTATGTAGTTTTACTTATTTTTTCATTTGATGGATGATTTCCCAGCCTTTTATCAAGTTACAATGTTCAAGTGAAAGAAGTATAATTTACACTAGCCGTATGACAGAAATCTGAATTTTACTGATATTGATGATCTTAGGGAATAAATTTGTAAGAGTAAAGGTGCTGTCACACTAGCACTTTTTCCGTCAATTTTTTTGACAATTTTATTTAACATCAATACAAACATTCTCGAATATAACTCTTGATTTGAGTATGCTTGGCTGAAAAAAAATTGACGGAAAGGTTTTCAGACGGAAACGATCATTATCGTCTGACTGGAAAATCGACAATTCTCTCAAAAATTGACAAAATTTCAGAAAATTGTCAAAAAATTGACGGAAAAAGTGCTAGTGTGACCCCCTTAACCCACCTTAAGCAAATGTAGGGGGCACATCACTCCTAGGGGAACATTTTGAAGGTCTAAAGGATCCAATAAACAAAATTTTCCATTCTCGGAAATAACCATTTCTCATAACAAGCAGTATGTTTATGTAAAAATGTGTAAACTAAAAGACTCTACCTATTATTTTATAATATATGATTTTTCTGTTTGAAAAGACCCTTTCCCACCTTAAAGAAAAAGAAAGAAAGAAAGAAAAATAATAATTGGCAAACCTGTCTAAAGAATACTTAGAAGTCTTTGGTAAAGTAAGGGGATGATTTAAAGGTTCAATGATAATGGCTTAATGGCTGAAATACAACCAATTCAAGAATTATAATGTTGTACCAGATTACAGGGTTTCATCTTCAAACAGAAATGAATGATTCAGACGGACCACTTCCAACCCATAGCATGTCCATCCCGGCAACAAGCTCCTGCAGAATAGTTCCAAACACCTTGGTTCTGGTGATGAAAATCTCTTCAGAAGTTCTGAAAAAAAGAAAAAGATCCATATCTATCAAGGTGGAAAAAAGGGGAGAAATTGTTTTTGTGATTCAAATGACATTTTTCATTTTTATTACATTACTATTTTTACTTCTGAAGTTTTTAAAGTTGGAGAGGTATAAGAATATCTGATTTAAATTTTTAAGCATTCAAATGTAAGAAAAGGTAATTCCACTGCCCACTGTTGCAAATTCTTTCATTAGGAAAACTACCTTCACTCTACCATGACTGTTTTTGCAGAAAACATGGTAATCCTGATAATTTTTTTGTCTTAGGAACTGTACTTCATTTTGAAACCAATTTTTTACCAGTCAAAATGAGTGATGGACAAAGTGGTTTAAACATTTTTCAGCCATCTTGTCTATTTATACTTGCAAGGAGGAAAATTTGCATAACAAAATACCTATAGAATTAACGACACTAGAGATTATTTTATTGAGCAGTAAATCATGTTATGAGATGTAATCAGCTTACCAATAAGACATCAAGTGATGTTAAAAAGGAATATGGCTTTCTATATACCCAGATTGAATGGACTAAAAGGGTGTGCTAACAGTATAACATTATTATGGGTTAGTGTATTACTTAATTACCATACATATCTATACCTACCCACAGCTACATCTACCTACACAGTAGTAATTGGTAGTTAAGAATATATTTATGAATATTTATTCTAAAGAAATAACCATACACATATGTGTTATAAAAATAACTATGCTCTTTCTAAGTTACTAGAGAAAAAAACTTGAAATTATGAATACAAATCACCGATTCTTACCATCTAATGGAGGTTTGTGGGAGTGGATTCCACTGGGAACGCTGCATATTACTAATCCATCAGGAATTGTGTCTTTGTCTTTCTCACAGTTGCTTGCAATCAGCAAGCGTTCATATGGCCGTTTACCGTGACTGGCAGCGAAGGGTGTCACGGGCTCCCCACCTTTGGTAACCTGTAGATTAAAAAAAAAAATCGAGGTGAGCCACTCTAATGAATTACTATTTACTCTTCTTATGTCTGAAGGAAAAACACAGGGCATTATAGATATTAGTGATCTCTCTTTTTTTTAACTTACAAAATTAACCCAATGGCACCAGGGAACTCCAATCCAATTTAGTTTTGTTTTGGGAAATTTGTTAACACAGAGATGGCTCCTCAAGAGATTAATCAAAAAGGAGTCAATTAGTAGGGCTTCTTGACCTTACTGACATCCCCATTCCTTGAATTTTTGGTAAACTTATTTTTTCCTGATGTTATCAATTTCATTACTGTTATCATTATCATCATTATTACTCAGTGAGATTATCTTCATGTTATTATCAATACAAATAGCTATAAGAAGAAAAAAAGAAATATCTGTAAAAATAATAAAAAGGGTAAACACATAAGATCAAGTAAGACTAGTAATTATCTCCTTGGTGACAAAAAACTGATAAACTAAAATCACAATGGACACCCTGGTATCAATGCATTAAACAAATGGTTCAAGAAAATTGTTAAAACATGATAATTTAATATCCTGATCCTCCCATGGCGGCACCTTAGGTGTCTGAATGACAATAATCCTTCAATTCATAACACTTAATGGTATTTCTAAGCTCCATATGTCCTCACTTGCCTTGCCTATAAAATTATCTTTCTTTCCACTGGCCCCTCTCACTAACCTGATGGCTGCTTTTGCATTGGTCTCTCTCTCTCTCTCTGTATAATGCTTTACAATCCCATCTCTGCTCTCATTATATCTATTCTGGTAATCCTCTGTAATTCTGTATGGTTTCAAGTTTTTGGAGTCTCCCTTGACAGGGTATGGAAAATGCTGGTGCTGCATAATCCACCAGGGCTCTTATTGTACTAATGTAGATTAGTTTCAGTAAGGGCATCCCAGCTCCTATTTCGCGACAAGCAAGTGCTCTGAGCGGTCATAATCACGCCCTACACTGAGTCAATATATGATTCACATCAGCATTTTTACTTGAAGCAGTAAAGCCAATGTATCCACCCAGATATTTATATGTCAATACTTTCTCTACCTGTTTATCATTTAACTTGAGTCTCACATTATCCCTTTGTTTGTTCTGAAACTTTGTCTTTTCTTCACTGATAACCAGCCCTAATGTTTGAGCAAGTTTACTATAGTATATCATTTGCCTATATAATTGGCTGGACTCCCTGAGGATACATCTCTGAGGCTATTCCGTTTATTAGTACATTAAACAGTGTTGGGCTTAAATCACCTACCTGTGGAGTTCCCAGCTCAAGATTTCTTTCCTCTGACAAATAGCTTTGAAACCATACACAAGCTCTTCTTTCAGACAAATAGTTATCAATCCACTTAACCCACTATTGACAGTATTTTTTGAAGTCGAAAATAAAAGTTTCCAGGCGGCTTCAAAATCAGTGCGCTGGGCTGGCCCGGAATCTGCCCACGACAGAATCGGAGCACAAGCTCCAATCCAGCGTCACATCTGCAGGACGCCCAGCAATGATATTTTTTGGGGTGTCACATATGTGTGACACCCGGCGTAGATGGGTTAAGCAACGTTCCCATGACCCTTAACCTTGCCAACTTAAGCATAATCACTTCTCCAATGGCTTTATTAAGACTCCCTGTAAATCAACAAATACTCTTTCCTGCATCGTTGGAAAAAACTAAATTAGGCAATTAGATGTCCCCTTCCTATTCATAAACCCATACAGATTACAAGATAGTTTACCTCTAATCACACATATTATCTCCAATCACATATATTAGACTGTTTAATATTTGTTCCATCATTTTACATAATCAGGATGTCAGAGATACAGGCCTGTATCCATCAGATGATGTAGGAACAGGTATTATTACGTTTTCTTTCCAGGCAATCTACCTTCCAAATAGCTCATGTTAATTAAATCTAATAAAGGGCTGTTCTCCAAGCTAACTAATGAATTTAGAATGTCATATGCAGATATTTCCACATAAATACTCCATGGAAATTCCTTCACCTGTTGTTGGTCCTGCCCTTGCTTGCTAACCTTAGGCGACGGCACCACGGACAGTGGGGCCTGCAGCCATGCATTCAGGACAGGAGCTGTTGCCTTTCCCAGAGGCCAAAGACCCGGCATTATGCGGGCCTCTGCCTTTGCAGCAGCAAGGCTTGATCCTCTCTCCTTTCTCAATTTTGGCCTGGCAGATCCTGGAGTCATGTTTCCTACCGTAGAACCTGCATTGGGCGTCCTGCTGACATGCCCATGACTTATGTCCCCATCAGCAGAACATGACTGGTGGCTCCACATATGGTGCTACCCTCCTGTACTCTGCTCTTTTCACAGGGTAACGAGCTGACTCTGCTCCTCGCCCCTGGACGTGTTCCTCTTAACCCACACAAACCTTTCATTATCTAGCAGAAAGTCGGAGTCCAGTATAGTAGGGTTCTGGAAAATGATCACTTTCGTGAGCTTTTCCCCATCCTTTGGGACAGTCATAACCTTCCCCTTGTACCCATGAGTCATCAGGATTTGCTCCACAGGTCCTGCCTGTACCATGAGATATGGCCTTCCTCTGCCTTCCTTTAGAAGTGGCTCGAAACCACGGTAATCCTAGCCCAGCTGCATGGCCAATCTTAATTTTTCCATGAAACTCAAGGCGCAGTTCTATGGAAATAGCAGCCATTTCCTGCTATACACACTTTCAGTATTCCGACTTCCTTGACTTCCTCATTCTTCTTTCTCTTTTTCCCCTGCTTGCACCCATTCTCATTGTCACTCATGTCACTTACACTTTCTTCATTTCTTTCCCTCTTATGGGAATCACTTTATTGAATTTTTCCACATGTCTTGTGATTTACACTTTCACTTTCTATTTCCATGTCATAATTCATAGCAACGTCACCATGCTGACATCTGGGGAGAGGTGGCCTGAGCCCCACCCGCGAGGCAGAGGTCAATGCAGTAAACACCAGAAATCCTCCTTGCAAAATTACACTAATTATCCAATGTCCTTAGTCTTTTAGGATCACGACAGTTATACGACAGTTATAGGTATGTTGCGAAAAACTGGAGGGCCTGAGGCACCCATTCCCTGTCTTTGGACTAGGTGGGGAGCGGGTAAACACAGGATTTTGGAAATCTCTCACGACTGAGGACAGCCCACAAACATGTCCTACTCCTAAGAGAGATACACCACACAAGCAAAGAGGGAGAGAGGTGAGGAGAGGAGAGGGAAAAAGGGAGAGAGAGAGAGGAGAGGAAAGGGGGGGAGTGAGAGAGAGAGAGAGAGAGAGAGAGAGAGAGAGAGAGAGAGAGGAAGAGAGAGAGGAGAGAGGAGAGAGAGAGAGAGAGAGAGAGAGAGAGAGAGAAGAGAGAGAGAGAGAGAGAGAGAGAGAGAGAGAAAGAGAGAAGAGGGAGGGAGAGGAGGAAAGAGAGGAGAAGAAGAGAAAGAAAGAAAAGAAAGAAAAGAAAGAAAGAAAGAAAGGAAAAGAAAGAAAGAAAAAAAGAAAGAAAGAAAGAAAGAAAGAAAGAAAGAAAGAAAAAGAAAGAGAGAAAAAAAGAAAAAGAAAAAAAAAGAAAAAAAAGAAAGAGGAAAAGACAATAACAACAAAAATATGAAAATAATCATGATGAAAATCAAGATACAATTACACCAAAATGAGAATAACAATAATGCTGATAAAATTAATAGTAATAAGAATTACCATTATATTAATAACCATAATAATGATACCAGTAATAATAATAATAAAAAAATAATAATAATGATAACAATAACAGTAACCACAATTGTTACTACCATAATAGTATAGAAATCCTAATAACAAAAAAGATAATGACCGCAATTACTGACCTTTAACCAATACCAGGTTGCCACCAAGTGAACACCCCACTTGTGCAGCCCTTGAACGAACTCCTCCATAATACTGGCGTTATTAGTGCACCAGACGACCACTAAGGCCTTTGGACTCAAGATCTCGCCCACCGGAGAGCAGAATGTCACTAACGGCATCATGTCATACCTGTTGATAAGAAGAAAAATGGATAAAGATAATGGGATAAAGAAAGAAAAAGAATACTGAAAATGTATTCTCCAAAAAGATACTCCATTTGATGTACATGTATCATGTACAGCCACGCTCTGTTTTAACATTCGCAATACAATATACATATTACAGACCATCTTGTATATCTATATGGGATACTGCAATGTACTTGTATGAATAACTGGACTTGATTTTATTGTTTAATGAACTATTGATGCACTTTCCAATATACATATATATTTTTTTTCTTATCTTTCTCTTTCTTTCTTTTTTTTCTTTTCTTTTTTTAAAAAAACAAAAAAAAAGATAGATTCAAACAACACTCAAAGTACTCAAAATGCAAGCCTGGATGCTCAATACCACAGACATCCGGATCTGATATTCTCTGAGCAGATGTTAAACATCTCGTGACAGTACGAAAAAAAAGAAAAGAAAGAAAGAAAGAAAAAAACTAGATATACATACCCATGATGACTTCCATGAGCAAGGCATCGTCTCTTTACATATTTATTCAGCCATGGGGGGTCCATCACAATGATGTCAAATTGATCTCCTGACACATGTGACAACAGATTACTAACATCATCGCATATGTACCGGACATTTCGCGGAAGTAGGTACTTGTGGTTTTCTATTTCTCGGACTCCAATGTCTGCATTATTGTGTGATTCGTCAAGGACTGGAAGCGTGATGTTCGAGATTTCTGTAAATCTGGGGGATAGCACATATGTTATGACAGTTCGGAAAAAAAGAAAAAGCAAAAAAAATAGAAAAAAGACAATATGATGAGAAAAATATAATAATGACTGATGGCAAAAAAAAAAAAAAAAAAATAAAATTTTTACATAAATGGCTATATATTTCAAGCAATCCTGCCATTTCATAAAACCTACAACAATATTAATCTATAACATAATTCACCTCCCATTACCCTTAAAATAGCTTCTAAATCATAGCTTCAATAACCAAGCTCTTTCATCACATCTATAAAATCCATTCCATTCCCATATACCAAAATACAGACACATTTCTTCCCCCTGGAATCCCATACCTTTTTTCCTTTTACCTTTTCCTCATTTCACGTATCACACTGTTGTTTTGCCTGAAGTCGTCACTGCTTGGGACATAGCTAAACATCTCCTTATATTCGGACCTTAAACGAAGGGCTGCAAACACTTCCTGGATGTGTTTTCCTCGTCGTCGTCTTGAGGAACTATTTTTTTGTGTTCTGTTGATCAATTATCAAGAATTTGAAAACATTCTATTAGATATGTTTTTCCTTTTTTTCTAAGATTTATTAGATATATCTTTTCCTACCTTAAAAATATAATAATAATTTAAAGCATAAGTTTTATTCACCTCTAAAATATATCACTGCACTTGCGCCCAGTAAAAGATCTCACTTCATTCTGCAATTGCAAAAGAGAAACTGATTGCTAAGACTGGGCAGAAAACAAACAAAACAAAAACAAATAATCAGCAATGAAGTAAATTGAGTCTACATAATTCTACATGAAACCAACTAAAATTAAGATGAAAATTAGGCCTAAGCACTGAACGAAAATAAAAATATCACAGACTTAAAGAAAAGCATAAAGAAAATGAAAAAAATTGAAACCAAGAAAGAAGGAAATACAAGAAAGAATAAGAAACAAAAGACAAACGGGTAATACAGGTTGAATCGCACTAGTCTCGCATTCAGTGGTCCAGCGGCTTTGGTAATCTGGGCCTTATGAGCTGATTGAAGCAAAGATCAAGCTTGCATGCCTGCTCAATTACCCTCAGAAACTTGAGCCTTATGTTGCTTTTATTACTATGAATAATGCCTAAAAGTATATAATTATTCTGTCTTTTTTATACCATCACTGAAATCTGGCAATTTCAGCACCTGACTGGACTCAAGTTGACTGGACTGCTGAGCTTCAACCTGTATGAAATAAACCAAAAGAAATACCGTAATATGACAACTGACGGGATGTGGTTTACCTCTTTTTCTTTTTCTTGCCTTAATTTCCTTTCCTTCTAACTGGGTTGCAATTTTCTCAGCTTGCCCGTCCTGTTGAAAGTTTTCAAAATATTAATATTCTCATTATTTCATTATTCCTATAAGCTGAAATAAAGCGTTCCTTTCTTTACTTCTCTTTTAAGGGTGGTGATTAGTCTAAATGTTCTTGAATCCCAATCAATTAAAAAGAAAATCTCTGTATACTGAAAGCATCATCCTAGCCCTTGAGACTGTGACATAAAACCCAATGATTGATACCTATACTATACAGAAATTTTAATAACAAAAAAGATAATGTGCATGTAACAACCAACCTGATGATACTAGAGATGGCAGGCATGGATATGTCATGCTCATAGTTTAGTTTATTAATTGTAT